TCCCCCCGGTGTCCCCCCGGTGTCCCCCCGGTGTCCCCGAAGCCGCGGGCCCGCTGCCCCCCGGGCTGGCCGTGCTCATGCAGGGGGGGCTGCTCGGGCCGTGTCACCCCCCCCGCTGGGCTGTGTCACCCCCCGAGGGGACCCCCGCACCCCCGGGGGGTGGGGAGGGGGCGTGGGGGGGGACAGAGCCTCTGGGGTCACACACGGAGTCCCTGGGGTGACACAGAGTCCCTGGGGTCACACAGAGAGTCTCTGGGGTGACACTGAGTCCCTGGGGTGACACAGAGAGTCTCTGGGGTGACACCGAGCTCCTGGGGGTGACACAGAGTCCCTGGGGTGACAGAGAGTCTCTGGGGTGACACTGAGTCCCTGGGGTCACACAGAGAGTCCCTGGGGTGACACAGTCCCCATGGGTGACACCAAGTCTCTGGGGTGACACTGAGTCCCTGTGGGTGACCCAGAGAGTCTCTGGGGTGACACCGAGTCCCTGGGGTGACACAGAGTCCCTAAGGGTGACACAGGATCCCTGGGGGTGACAGAATCCCTGGGGGTGACAGAATCCCTGGGGGTGACACAGAATCCCTGGCTGGGTGACCCCAAGTCCCCGGGGGTCACACCGAGTCCCTGGGGGTGACACAGAGTCCCTGGGGTCATTCAGAGAGTCTCTGGGGGTGACACCAAATCCCGGGGGTGACCCCGAGTCCCGGGGGTGACACCGAATCCCGGGGGTGACACCAAATCCCGGGGGTGACACCAAATCCCTGGGGTGGCCCCGAGTCCCGGGGTGGCCCCGAGTCCCGGGGGTGACACTGAATCCCGGGGGTGGCCCCAAGTCCCGGGGGTGACACCAAATCCCGGGGGTGACCCCGAATCCCGGGGATGACACCGAATCCCGGGGGTGGCCCCGAGTCCCGGGGGTGACACCGAATCCCGGGGGTGACACCGAATCCCGGGGGTGGCCCCGAGTCCCGGGGGTGACACCGAATCCCGGGTGTGACACCGAGTCCCGGGGGTGACACCAAATCCCTGGGGTGACCCCGAATCCCTGGGGTGGCCCCGAGTCCCGGGGTGACCCCGAATCCCTGGGGTGACACCAAATCCCGGGGGTGGCCCCGAGTCCCGGGGTGGCCGCGTGCCGGGTGGCAGGACCCTACTCCAGGTAGATGTCCTCTGTGGGGCAGGCGTACTCCAGGTGCTCCTGGTAATATTCCTGAAACGCTCGGCTGGGGGGAGCCGTGGGCACGGGGGGCTCAGCGAGGGCAGGGGGCACGGAGCCTGGCACCCCCGGACCCACGGAGACCCCGCAGCGGGGCTGCTACCCCCGAGCTGGTACCCACAGCCCCCCAAACCTGGCACAGAAAGATCCACAGTCCCCAAAACCCCAAACCTGGCACAGCCAGACCCACAGACCCCCAAACCTGGCACAGCCCCACCCACAGCCCCCCAAACCTGGCACAGCCCCACCCACAGCCCCCCAAACCTGGCACAGCCCCCCCAGACCCCAAACCTGGCACAGCACACCCAGACCCCAAACCTGCACAGCCCCCCCAAAACCCCAAACCTGGCACAGCCAGACCCACAGCACCCCCAGACCCCAACCCTGGCACAGCCAGACCCACAGCACCCCAAACCTGGCACAGGCCGACCCACAGCACCCCCAGACCCCCAAACCTGGCACAGCCCGACCCACAGCCCCCCAATTCTGGCACAGCCTGACCCACAGCACCCCCCAATTCTGGCACAGCACCCCCAGACCCCAAACCTGGCACAGCCAGACCCACAGCCCCCCAA